ATGTTATATTTTACGTTAATCATATACTTTACTTCGAAGTATATTTTATTAATAATATAATAAAAAATATATGAATAATAGTTAAAATAATGCTATGGAAATTCCGCTCAATTCAACCGGTAGAGTGACTTCAATTTTCAAATTACACGTTTCGTTACCAATGAATAAATTGAAAATATAAATTACCAAATGAAACTTTAAACATACTTCATATTACGAATGAGTGAATCAGCCACTTTAACTTTTCATTTTCAATAAAGCAAACAAAAACTTTGGCCGTTCTTTCAGGATGATGGAATTATGGCCTACCAAGAAATCTCTTTTATCAGATACGTACCATGCTCGCAAAATGCAGAAATCAGTGGAGATGTCTTTTGCGTTTAAATTTTAAATTGCTACTCGTGCTTACTTTTAATTATTTTATTACTGAGTATAAATTTCATTAAATAGGATCAAGACATTGAAAGCATTAAAATAAAGACTCATGTTTTATGGGACTACAAATATATTAATCATCACAAAATTACCTTTAATGAAGTTCATGTCCAAATAATAATTAAAAATAACAGAATACATTTTTTAATTTTAAATCCTTCTGAAGAAGTAATACTCCATCCGTTCCCAAAAATACTTCCCACTTTCCTTTTTGGACTGTTCCCAAAAATACTTCTCACTTTCCCATTTTGGACAATTTGTGTGGCTCACATTCATTTTACCTTTTTCTTACACAACCACAACCATACATTTCCACTTTATTCCATTTTCTTAAAAAGCGTGCCAAGTCAAACCGGGAAGAATTTTTAGGAACGGAGGGAGTAATATATATACTCGCGATAACGATGGTGGCTTCACCATCCTCCCGAAAGATTGTTCACGCCTTTTGACGAGCCCCCTTCTAGTGAGAATGTCATTTTCACAAGCTAGAATAGTGGCATAATAATGACATTTTCGTATAAAAATAGGGCATTTTCATATGTGCAAACACGAAATTCATAGATGCAAAATCAAGACATTATGAGGATGAAATTCTGTGATTTTTGAAATAAATTATGTGATTATCAAATTCAAGTTGAAAATGTAAAATATGAGAGAATATAAAAAAATGAAAAATCGGACTTAATACCGATATCTTTACACATTTAGTGTCATAAAAATTACATCATTCAGCTAGCAAATATGTGAAAAACATTGAATTATAAATACTGTAATTTCAAAATAATATTGTCATCTTGTTAAATGCATGTAATGTTATAAAAGAAGCATATTTACTAATAACCAATAGTTATGACATTTTCATAGAGTATTAAATTCAAATTGGAATATTTTCGATAATTGGTCGTATGTTGAAACCTCGCTCGTATTGTGTATGTCATTTTCATTTTCATTTACCCCAGTGCCGCAAAGGCTCCCACCTACGGTGGGGTAAGGGGGGGGGGGTCGGATGTACGCAGTCTTACCCCTGTACTAAAGCACAGAGAGACTGTTTCCGGATGACCCATAGTGAAAATCCCGACCAAAATTGCATGGACTGACTGCTGCTTCATGACAAAGAAGCGCAAACAGTTTAGTGAGCCATTTTGCTTTATTCCATCATAATCTCAAGCCAAAAAATAATGAATCTTTGGCTCCATTGCAAATGATGGAAAGGCTCGTATTGTGTATGTATATAATTTAAATTTGTAGTTTAGACTTCAAATGCTAATTCAAGCATAGATTAGATTTAAGGAATTTCATATATCTTAATCATAAACAATCATAACATAAAAAATAATTCACAATAAAATATGCAAAAAAATCCACTTATGTTACTCCTAAAAAAATGATGGATAAAAATGTGACTTGATAACTTTTAGTGACTATAACTGTTTTCAAACTAATAGTCACTAAAAGTTATTAAATCACATTTTTGTCCATGACTAATTTATTAGTAATATTTTAGGGTAAAATTCAAGAAATATTACTTAGAATAGTCACTCTATGATTAGGCTTTACTCACTACAAAGTACTATCTATCTATCTTATTTCTATCCATTAAAACTCTTCCTTTGCGGATAGTGTTTTACCTCAAAATTCTTAGGGGCAATAATATCTGCAAATGAATGGAGTATTAGTCAATCATCAAAAGCTATTTGGTGAAATAAATGTGATTAAGATTGATTGACAAATGGCAATTTGGAGGACTTTTACTCTACTGCCTTACTTTTTGATAAAGTCTTGTATGTCATTTATATACGGAGTAATTATTATCATTATACTCGTGCTATATATTGATGGATGAGGCAACCATTATGATATTCAATTCAACCGTGTGAAAAAAAGATACACGCCATCCTTGAGGGCTCCCAAACCCTGACCGGACGGTACATTGGGAGGATGTATATTGAACTATAATCTCAATCTGACAGATAGAGAGTGAGGCTCTATCCCCGATACTTGCAGAGGTCATATGCATTTTTAGCATAGTAACTCCTCATCGCAGTTGCCGGGATTCGAATCCGGGATCTAACCTTTGTGTCACTCTCTTGCTATCAGTTGTCGGGATTCGAATCCGCTACTTCCATTTTTTGTTTTTAATTCAACCGTGTGAAAGATATATTTATGACATGTAATCTTTGGTGGGTGAAGAATGAAAGTGACTACTGCAAATAATTGGGATGTTGCCTAATTTTCATGGCACATCTACTAAGTGCTTGCAATTGGTTGTACTTTAAAAAAACCACTTTGTAAAGTGATTTTAAAAAAAGTACTTAAAAGTAAATGTGGGTAGTGTTTGAGAAAAAATGATTTTGAAAAATAAAAGTTGGTAATTTTTGAAAAAATATGTGTTTTTTGTGTAATAGAAAAAGTAAAAAGTAGATTCTAACATTTAATTTTTAAAGGGATATTTGCAAAATTAGTCCTGTAACTTTCAAGTTTCGCCAGTTATCGTTATTGGTACTATAACTTTAATTTAATCACTTACAAATTTGTTCCTGTAACTAATAAATCTTTGCAATTTAAGGACTTTTTCACCGGAAAGTACACTTTCCGGCAGAAACATCCGACGCCGGCGGCATCTTTTCCGGTATACCATCGCCGGAAAGCATACTTTTCTGGGAAAAAGTCCTTAAATCTCAAATATTAATTAGTTACAGGACCAAAATTGCAAGCGACTAAAGTTACGGGACCAATAATGAAAACGCCTGAATTCACCGGACGAAAATTGCAAATTTCCCGCTTTTAAATGTTTAATTTAAACAGAAACTGTCACCTTTTTTGTTTTTTTATTGGACTTTCTAGTCTCTTATAGTATCTATTGAATACTAAATGCCAACATCCTTGATTGGGATGAGTTTGAACCTGTGATCTCCTCCTTGAAGGTGTTACAGTGATGCCATCAAACCACAAGGTTCTTAGCGCATAAGTTGTCACCTGAAAATACTTTTTTCAGTTTAATAAGCCAAAAATTGAAACTCGTTTTTTTAATTTTTTGCAAACATACCCTTAAAAGGTCTACGTATTTATAACGGATTATCATCATCATCATCACCACCACCATTGTCATTGTCATCGACTCATCGTCATCATCTATCATTATCATTATCAATTTATCATTATTATTATTAAGTATTATTAGTAGTAGTAGTATTGTTACTGTGCGCAGAGCGCGCTGCTATTGTTATTTTTTGAAAAAGTTATTATTGTTATTATCGTTATAATATATTTATATGTGTAGTATATTATTATTGTTTCTAATATTACTGTTATTTTTTAAATTGTCCTACTCTTCCTCTGGTCGTATCTTATTGTTTGTTCTTTTGTTTTAAACGTTTTTATCTCGTTTGAAAGATCATAGACTTCTAAAACTGTTGTTGAGACTTCATACATAAGATGTTAAAAGATAGGTACGTATTACACTGAAATTCAAAAATATTGCCCAGTTGACTACAAACAGAGTGAGTATTTGATTTTGAGTCCTTTACTTCTCAAACATTTTGATTAATTTGTTCCAATTTCTTTCTTTTTGGTTGTTTGATTGATTTCGATCAATCTTATTTTCAGATTTATTTTTCTAAACATTTTGAATTTGAAATGTCAAATTAGTTAATTTTTGTTTGAACGTTTATTTGAAAATTGAAATTAATGTCACTTTTATTGTACTATCTTTATCAAGAAGGTAATAATACTTTAAAAATAAAGTGTTCATATGGCACATTCTTATATATAAATATTATTTTGATAATTAATGACATTCTATAACTCTAACTTTATAGAGAAGGTAACCGACCACAGGTGCTTGCACCATCTGTTCTCCTCATAACAATGACCTCTCAGGTGCTTAGGGACAGATCATGAATTTCAGAGTAAGGGGGTGAATTTTTTTTTGTGAGTGCAAGGGGTGAAAAAATTGGTAGTGTAGCGGGGCGATTTTTTTCCGCTTGTGTAGCCGGGTAAAATTTTTTCACTTGTGTAGCAGGACAAAACTTTTTCGCTAGTGTAGAGCTCTGGGGCTAATTTCCATTCAAAAAGTTTCATTAGTACATACACGAAGACATTTAAATCTATTATATTCTAACTGTAAGTGCTCTAGGAAAAAATATTGATACATTAAAACGTAAGAAATGACAAATCAAAGGAAAATTATTTGAAAATTTAAAAGGATATATAACATTTTATCAAATTATTTGAAGGCAAAGAGTTTAAAAGGTACACATCAACCAATACTTTTTAAATAACTTTTGTCTTGTTTAACCACATGAATCTTATCAGAATAAAGAATTAGTTTTTGAATTGCAATTTTTGTCTACCAAGGAGGGTCTGGTAATTAATATCGTTTGCTACTTTACAAAAATCGAATACTAACTATCTAATAAAGATAATCAAACATTACAAAATTAGGAATTTTTATATAATAGGTATCCTGAGTCTTAAACAATGAGTTGTTCTATTTTTATTTGTTTAAGTTATGTAAATTATTTAGATGTTACTTCTTTTAAATCTCCAATTAAATATTATATTATGTAAGACTATATATTAATTTTGAAAACTACCCGTAAAAGTTACGGTCCTAAGGAGGACGAAAACATATGTATCTAATTAAAGTATGAAAACATCACATATATAGTAGAAAAAATTGAAAGTCCAGGGGGCGCCCCTCCCCCCCCCCTAAATCCATCCGAACCAATGCATGAAGCGGCCCTCGCAGCTGCCTCCTCCTCTACCTGCACCGCCTCAGCCATCTCTTTATCTTCCATCTCTAGATTGAAGCCTTGGGTTATATCCGTAGCCTGAAGGTCCTTCTCAAGATTCTCAGCAGCCTCCTTGGGCCTCCCACCGAGGCCTCAGGACTGGGTGTCCTCTCCTCTAGCCAGTCCTCGAACTCGACTTGGTTCTCAATAGAAGGTGTCCTCGAGATGTCTTGAGAATCAACTTCAGACGACATAACTAGCAAGCCTTAGGGAGATCAAACTTTCTAACATGAAGGGAGATCTAGAGTTTTCAACCTAACACTAGATCATGCACCTAGAAGCAAAGTATGCAAGAAAAAAGAAGAATTGATGAAGAACTCACCCCAAAAGATGAGTTTAAATCTACGCGAGGTTTATCTCTCTAAAAAGGGCAGAGCTTCACTTCAGATTACAAAATGCGCAACGAAAAATGCGCCCAGGCTTGGGGTATTTATAGGTAACCCAACAAGGGTTACCTCAAAGTCACCCCCTTCAGTTAGAAAGCAATCATCACACACCGTGGACCAACCCAACCAGCACGCCCGTCCTCGAAGCCCCTGTCACAATGTGACTAGCATTACCATCAACAACAAATCAAACTTTTTGGGCAGTCATGATGACTCTCACTCACCCTATGACCCAACATACATGAAGTCCCCTTGATTCCAAGCTCCCGATACCTTCCAAGCTCTCGTGCGCACTGATAGTCAGCCCACAGTGGCACCCTTTGGCCCCTGCTACATTCTAATGGGAGACCCCTAGTTCAACACAGGCATACCACATTACCCAACGCTCTTAGCTAAACTACAGACCAAAGGTGCCCTCGTCCTCTACTACAATCTAGACAAAGGCACAACAAAGTCCATCAAGTGACCTCGACAAATGCGTGTCTTTGCATAGCACCCTCTGATCAAACAACATACAACTATTTGGAGAAGAACTCGACACAACAAATTTAAACTCTTACAGCTCGAACTACCTTCGGTCAAGAGGAGTGGGGGGGACTACCCCTTAGTCTTTTTTATCACCAAACAAAATCGCATAAAATACACAAACTTCAAAAACCAGATCATTCAAAGAACTACTCCCCATCGTCGTGGTTACCTCTCGATAAAGGGAGTGTGGGGCTCCTGATGGAGTACATGTATCGTGAGCACCCAATCCGTATACTTGCGTTATCATTACAGAAGGCCCAACAACGTACAAGAGGCCCAACAAGCAATTGGTCACCCCTTAGGTGGGCCGCCAGGAGCCATGGGTCGCAACAACTCACAGAGTGGACCACTAAGGGGATCGGTCCAGAGTCTCCATTTATAAGATGAGCCCTTGGCAGAAGCCCTCGACACACGAGAGCGGAGTGTTAGGCCTTGCTATGACCGAATCCTCATCTTGTCACTCTTTAGCATCAACAACCGCATTTAATGCACCATCACATGCCCATTTCTTCCCTACATCGGAACTTTCTGTTATAGACTAGCTCACACGTATACATGCATTTAATGCACTTAACATTTATGATTGATATCTATAGTTCCCTGTGGGCAGATGTAACAGTTCAAACTTCATCATTATCATACTCACATCTCTCTTTAACTTGTTAGTTTGTCTTACCGCTAGTCCGCTAGTGATATCCCAGTTTAGCTAGCTATCAAATCCAATCTTTAGTGGACGCAGGAATTCCCGTTAGGAGAGGCGGCAATGTAAAAAAATACATACACTACGTATATTAAAATTTCAGGGTAAAAATACCAAAGAAAAAAATTGGGGGGGGGGGGTGATGGGCGGTGGCGGCAACCCCATTAGCCCCCATGCTGGGCCCACCCTTGAGTCCAATCCTACAGCCGTAGAAGTTAGTGTACAAAGTTGATTTTTGCATAATGAATGATCTGGTGATACATGTACGTATAATTGTATTAGATGTTTAGACTGTGCATTAAAATGGCATTGCTCATTATTCACTTATTTTAAAGTAAACATAAATGGTTTGATGGTGTCAGGTGGTGATTGTAGTTATATTTTTTGTATTATAATTAAGAGTTTTTGCCACTTTTGGTCCTCGAGTATTGTGTCAGTGACACTTTTGGTACACGACTTTTAATTTTTCCATTTTTAGTCCTCGATTATTGTTCGTGAGACACTTTTAGTCTTCTACTTTCAAGTTTCCCACATTTAGTCCTTTGAGTATTATCAAATTGACACTTTTAGTCCTACTATGATTTTGACACAATAAGTGGAAGACTAAAAATGTCTCTATAGGAATAGTTGAAGGTCCAAAAGTGTCACTTCTACAAAAGTCGAAGGACTAAATACGGAAATTTTCAAAGACGGATACCAAAAGTCTCTCGCACAATAGTCGAGGACTAAAAGTGGAAAAATTAAAAGTCGAGTACCGATTACCAAAAGTGTCACTGACACAATAGTCGAGGGACTAAAAGTGGCAAAAACTCTATAATTATTTAAGTAAACAGGGTTATGTTATCAACTTATCATAGTATGAATATTTCAAAAAAGAAAACTTATCATAGTATGAAATGGAGTAGAATTTGATTATGAACTTTTAGTTGATAGCACCATCGATCATTCATATTTCATAATACCACCAAACGGATAGCACCATCATTCTAATTTCTCTGTTGTTATTATTACATTCCTTCCAATTACATAAATTTATGTCAGCAAAGATTATGTGATGAAGTTTTTTATGATGAACTGCATAGTGAGAAATTATAAATTTGTATAAATCTCTTGTTTAACAACATACATAGTTCTACTCATTACACGGAAATGTAAAATCTAAACTTCTTTGACTTTGTACAGACGAATTGTTAAATTTGACCACAGGTCCATCCGTCCATATGTAAATTAACCAATTTGAGACATTCTTAAAAGTCGTTTGAAACCAAGTTTAGTCAGGTTGCTCAAATTTTACCTGCCGAGTCTGGACCACGTCTCACGCGGTTAGTCGATATTCACTGGCTTTCTCCTATTTATGATTTCTCATTAACCAGCAAAGTTTTGGGCTCAGACTGCTAGTTTCCGGGTTGACTGGGCCGGTTTGTCATTTCCCAGGTCAAGTAGGACGGAATCAAATCTAAACACAAATTTTGACCCATGCTCAATCATAATAGAAAATACACGAATTAGTAGTACTACATATCATTTGTAAAGAGAAGGGAATCATACACTTCTAGCTCGATTGAAAATAAGCCATCTAAAAAATAATGAGTCAATCACATGTCCCTATGACCGAAGAACATATCTTACAATCTTTGCAAATATTAATTTTTATGCAGTACAACATAATAATGAACTCCCATAGACATTATATAATATGTAGACATGTGATCAGATTGTTGCATATGTATTTCCAAAAATTAACTTTTGTAAGAAAAACTAGCACTTTATATTTGTTGTATTAGGATATATATAATTGCAAATAATTATAGTCAAAGATTACATGTTTAAATATTTCAAGTCAAAACAGGGAGATGGATGAAGTAAATCTATCTCTATGTTCAGTAAAATACATGATCCTACAGATGATAACACATCCACCAAAAAACTCACATTTGCAACGCAAGCGGTAACAACAAAAGTGCAGTCAAGGCATCCAAACATTCCGCACTTAGAGCAGACCAGCGGTGTTCAAAGCAGCCTTGAAGTCTTCGTCACTTTCCCAAGAGGTGATCTGTATTGTTTGATGTAAATAAAGAATCAGCCATACAAAACATCTATCTAACTGTGTTCTTAAAGCAAAACACAATTCAGACCCCTCTCCAATGTAATGTTTTCTCTCTCTACAGAGAAAAGGTAAAAAGAGGTCTATTTTTGGAAGTTTGATTTTGACCCAGCAAAATAATGGATCATCCCCGCATCTAAGTGGTTAGCGGGGCCTAGCACCTAGATAGTCTTTATTGGAGCCAAATTATATACTACGTATAAAAAACACATAACAAAAGTACAAAACAAAAAACCAAGAGAGTCAATCAATACACGTAATATGGAAATAACCAGGTCAGGAATAGGTAAGAATGGATGTAATACCTCAGCCACAGGACTGTCGAAGTGGCTCTCAATCTTGGACATCAACATGTTGTCTTTATCGTTACAAAGCAAGTTGAAAACAGCACCTATGTCATAATAAAAGTAATAATAATAATAATAATGTCAAAAGATGAGTGTTCATGAATCACAAACCTAAGTTGTGAGGGAAAAGTTTAAAGTAGGAGTTACCTTTTCGCCCAAAACGACCGGCTCTACCTATCCTATGCAAGTACACTTCATGGTCTGGCTCAGATGGATGCTCATATTGCACTGGAAGATCATAATTCACGACCAAATTCACCTAAACACCAATTAAACCATATGATTGGGGTTACCTGATGCCATCCAGACTTCACAAGTAGTACTGTGCAATGCATACCTGGGATTGGTCAAATCCTCGAGCAAGAAGATCCGTTGATATAAGAACTTGTGTTAGCCCCTGCTTGAACTCCTTAATAATTTCATCCCGGTCTTCGTGGTTCAGAGCACCTTGAATTGTTGTTACCTCATAGCCTAGATCCACTAGTGATTTGTGCAACATATAAGCACTATTCCTTGAACGCACAAATATGATTGTCTGTCCCACCTTCTTACCCAGGTCAAGTATTTTATCCTTAACCACCATGACCTTTGAAAGCTCATCGGGACACTGCACCTTAAACTGCTTGACAGACTCCAATGAAAGTTCTTCCTTCTTCACAAAAAGCTGGTTGTAATCTTTAACAAACAGGTCTTCGACAATTTTCTTAACAAACCTCTTGACAGATTCATTGAAAGTTGCAGAAAACAAGAGCACCTGACAGTGTATGAAAATAATATAATGTCATCATACAAATCAAATTACTGACTTAAAAAAGTGAAAAGCTTCCGGAGGGAAATTGTTTAATCTTGAGAAAAGGTATGCACCTCTTTTTCTAGAGAAACGTGCATGCCTGATTAACTACAATATGAATAAAAATATAACTCAAGATGGCGAATTAGATGAAGATGTATCCTAATCCTATAGAATCAAAATGGGGTGGATGAAATGGAAGAATGCGTCAAGATTTCTATGTGATAAAGGTATGCAGTTTAAACTTATCGCACAACAATTACACTTGCATTAATGTACGGCGTAGAGTGTTGGACGATAAAACAATGTCATATTCAAAAAATGAGTGCGGCTAAGATGTGAATGTTTTGCGTGAATGTGTGGACATACTAGAAAAGACCGTTTAAGGAATGAGGCCAAAAGTGAGAGTACCACATGTTGAAGATAAGATGCGAGAGTCTCGACTGCACTGATTTGCCCATATGTGTAGAATACGAAATGATGCAGTTCTTAGACAATTTGAGAGGTGGGAGAGGAGGCATGGGAGGCAAGGGAGAGAGTGAGCTAGACATGTGGATTAGAGAGGTCAAGAATTATATGGTACTTCTTCCGTTAGATATGAGTATGAGTGTATGACTTTGGAAAGAGCAAAGTAGAGAGAGAGAGTATTCGGCTGAAGGATTGATCTGTTTTTGTTTCTCCTTTTTTCTTTGTTTAGTATTTTCTCCAATATAACCGACCCCAAACTCTTGGGATTAAGGGTTGGATATTGTTGTATTGTTGTTGTATACATACAAACACAACAGTCTACAGTCAACTACAAAACACATATATAATCTATGGTTTATTTAGTTTACACAAATCAAAGATGATTGAATCTAGGGTTTAGTTGAGTTACTTACATCATATAGATGAAAATTAATTCTTAAAAAACTATAACTTATAATTCCTCAGTAGAATGGTTTGATCTCTGACCTGGCAATCGGCTTTGCCGTTTACAATGGCCTTCATTATTTTTATAGAGTCATCCTGAAAGCCACCCTGCATTGGAAGATAGATCAGATGATTCAGATATGTGAGTTGCCTTTGTTTTGGGAACCAATATCAGTTAAGCCAATTAACACGTCAAGAATCCTTGAAAAGCAATTAATTTGTCCTCTACCTCAACCAATTTAATCAAACACCTTTCAAAAAGTTATTCATTTTGGTAGTTCAGTTGGTGGTTGAATTAGCTCAATAAGGTTCTTCAAACAGGAAAATGCTCCACTTTTCTTGACCATGTAAAATACTGGCACTCAAAAGCGGATAACCACATAATAGTTCAGAACCTCATTTGACAGAAAACTAAAGCATGATGTTTAAAAAGCACCAGGTGCTAAGTAAAACCTTAAAGACACACATGCACGCAGCATGCACAACGTGAGAGCAAACAAGAGAAGAAATTGCATTCAAAAGAAAAATGTTGTTTCATGAAAAGGCCTCCACACGTGTTTTTTAAAAATTCAATATTCAATTATATAAAACACATTACTTGACTTGTGCCGATTAGGATGCATAAACTAGACAGGAAAAAAAGTACGAACTGTGGCAGCATTTTTGGATAATGAAAGAGCAACCTAAATTGCATGTATGCTAAATTCAAAAAATAAATATCTGCCTGCAGCAAACTTTTGGATATCAGACACTATCTATTTCTTTTAGAAAGGAGATCAAAATAGAAGTTCCTATGATGACTGACAACATATTGACCATCATGCAGAAATAGAACAACACAATTACCTCTGCTAACATGTGGTCCGCCTCATCAAATACAAGAATTTTCATGCAACTTGTGCCCAGTTTCTTAGCAACAACCCACTTTTTTATTGTCCCAGGGGTACCAATTATGACTTGAGCTGTAATAGGGGGTCGCTTATTAATTGGAACATAGTTGTCCTTACTTGGTGGTATGCCCAGTTCTGATGTTATACCAGTATATTTTCCCATCTTTAACAAAACTTCCATATTCTGCAACAGAATCCAAGAGAGCATGATTAGAAAGAAAATAGTTTACTATATTACAGTTTGATATGTCAATTGACAGTTTCACCCCCTTTTTTCACGCCTCTTTGTTAACATTAAATTCTTACATGTGGAAGTTCTAAGCATAAAGTGAGGCAGCAAAACTGGCAAAACCTCAACAGAATGAGGCAACACATTGGTGCAGTATTTTTTCTTAATTTTATTTTTAATTTCATCATCTGATACACATCTCATAATACATTTTCAATTCTTATGTTTGTAACTCTATCGACCGCTGTGATATAAATTGTGAAAGACAATAGAGATCCAAATTGGTACTTATATACTCCCTCCATCCCAAAAATACTATCCAGTTTGACTTGGCACGCTTATTAATAAAGCGGGAGTAAAGTGGAAATGTATGGTTGTGGTTGAGTTAGAAAAAGGTAATTAAATGTTAGCCACACAAATCACTCCATAAAAGGAAATGCGAAGAATTTAATGGAAGTTGGGACATCCCAAAAAGGAAAGTGGAAAGATTTTTTTGGGACGGAAGTAGTAGAACTATAACACATAAATAAATTGATTATTATAAGGACCTATTCTTTTGGTAAAATATTTGTTCTGGTCTGTTGTGGTGTATTCCAAGTTTAGTGTGGTATTAGTTGTACCAGTATGAGTGTTGCAAGTTAAGTCTGGGGTGATTTTGATATGGTTTAGAACTGAAAAAATTCCAAATTTCCAATAGAACACGTCTGTGATCACAGAAAGCATTTTGAAGACAACTGAACACCAAAATATTTAACAAAAGTGAAAAGATCTAACAGGAGTAAACATAGGCAAAATACCTAAATAAGAGTATCTAAGTTTTAAACTTATATAGGACTGAAAATAGGATGATCGAACATGACTAACCCTCAGTCAAAATTAAAGAACAACAATGCTCTTTTACAATAATCAAAGAATTAATCATTTACAACAATTCGCTGCCTCTGGTGGTGGATGCCGGCAACCACCACCAGATTGTGGCCACCAATGTTAGGCTTTGGTGAAATTTTATAAGATTCGAGAGAAATTCCAGTAACTCCTTACATTCTCAAACATTACAACTCTTACAACTCTCATTCCTAACACTCACTCCTAACATCGTCATTCTAATAATGTAGTCACTGATAAGAATTTCACATGCTTTACTCTACTAGATTAACATTATGAAACAATTCCAGTCATAAAACCCATTTCTAACTGTATTAATTAATCCTAATTAAGTCACTCTTGACATTGTTACTTCTAACACTGACGTCAATAACATTGTTACCCATAACACACTTAACTCGTGACATTGCCCCTCTACTGTTATTAGTATTGTCGTTATATTTCTCTGCCACCATGTACATTGTCAAAGAGTGTTGGTGTTTTCGGGCAAAAATTATATGTATATGATATAACACTCCTATTGAGGGATAAAAGATTAAAGGCTCCTATTTAGATACACGTGTTATGTTTTACTCCAATCTAGAACCATTTTTATGAACAAACGGCATCCAGAATGCATAAAACACATAACGCATTCGAATTGGCAACTTTATCAATGTTGTGCATATGATACTCTAGTAAATATTTGTATACTCTGGTTCAGTCAGACAATATCGTGGTGAAAAAATACAGCTGATATGTACACACCTGAATGGCAAGTTCTCTAGTGGGGCAGATGCAGAGAGCCTGAGGGGCACCGAGTTTAGGATCAACTCGGCTCAACATTCCCAGCACAAAGCATGTTGTTTTTCCGGATCCATTGTGAGCCTGGGCGATCAGATTCTTATGGGGTGGAGTTAAAATCATAGGCAAAGATATGCCCTGAATTTTACTCGGCCTCTCGAAATTCATCTCCGCGTATAATCCTCTCAACAACTCCGGTGACAAGTTCAAGTCTTCGAATGTTTTAGCAGATTTATACAGAGTGTCCCCAGATGTAACCTAATTCACCAAAACCGAACTCAGATAGCATTTAATTAACCCAAATAAACATAACAGTTATTAGTCAATGATACGGTTTAAAATAGAAGTGAATTTACGGTTTGGATACTGTCGTCATCAGGGTTAGAGATGGATTGGTTGACATTACTGGATTCACTCAAAGCCAAAGAAGCAATTGCAACTTCAGAGCTAGACTCAGATTCATCCGCCTCATCAGCCCAACTTTTAGAGAGCTCTGCCATTCTGGCTAATCCAGAACTTTCTTGTTGGGTGAAGAATGAAGATGATGACTATAGGTGATCCCAGAACTTCCTTGATGGCAGAAGAATGAAGATGACTATATCCGGTTGCTTAATTTCTAAGGCACCTTTAAAACCTTCTTTACAATATCCGGTTGGCTAAAAATTTTAGCGGTGGAGGTGTCTGATCCTGTACACTATTTTGCAGAACTCTTACAGTATCGTGACTATCTAAAAGATTCTGTTTGGTTCGGTCTTAGGGCTAATATCGTTTGGTAAGGTTTGATTTTTAAACAATCGAGTGTCATGTCATGTCATATCAATGTCAAACAATGTTACGTTTTTCAAGTATTTAAAGGAAAATAAAGATTAGGCATCCTCCAAAAATTCACATAATTTATCAATTTTCATATTACAAAATTAATAAATTTTAGATAAATTATACTAGTACAAATTTAAATAATTAAATCATACTTCGGTCCGGTTCCAGACTTCTAATGAACTAACAAAGGCTCTGAAAGTCGAAGGTACTAATCAAAGTAATAGTATAAATGTAATTTTAAATAATTAAACCATACACCGGTCCGATTTGGTCTGGTACCGGTTCTCATTTTATGAATGAGAACCAGTCATGACATTGTTTGAAATCAGTACGGCCCGGTTCGGGACAAAAATTTTGAGATCCATTTCAAAGCCCGTTTTCTGGTCCAGTACAATACTGGTCCAGTTCGATATCATGTTGGTTCGGTATTTTTGCCCACGTCTAAAAAAATTGTATTGAGTATTCAATCAATAGAAATTACCGCGGACTAAAGTTTATAAGACTAAACATTTATTTCTACCGTAAATATCTCTAAGGATATTAATTCATAATGAAATGTTTTAAATAAAATCGTAAAAATATTAAACAAAATTAAAAAGTAATAAAAAATAACAAAATATTTATAAATTTAAAAAATAATATTCTTTTGAATTTGTTTTTCAAAAATAAAAAATACTCCCTCTGTCCCTAAAAATTCTTCCAACTTTCCTTTTTGTGCGTCCCAAAAAAACTTCCATTTTTCTTTTTTGGTAAAGAGTTTGTGGTTCACAACAATTCTTACATTTTTCTCTCTCCTCTACCCAACTCTCTACCAAACAATACACATTATCTTAAGGAAAAATTGAAAATAATAATATCAACTATTGCCGGTCCGCTAACAATAATCTCAACTATTGATTATCTTTGTTAAATCTCAACTATATGGACTGTCCGCCAATAATGGTCCATGACCGCATGTTAGCTGCTCTAACAAGTGAGTTTTTAATATAAATTAAGAATAAAAATTAAAATTTGGAATTATTTATAGGGATTACCTGCTATATCTCTTTAGAAACTATAGGAATTTATTTATAGTCGGTCACGTCGGACCATTATTGGCGGAATATCCCTAAAATTGGGATTATTCTGAAATAATCAATAGTTTAGATTATTATGAGCGGACCGCCAATAGTTGGGATTATTACAATCAATTTTCCTTTATCTTAATCCACGTGTCATTTGTACTGTGAAAGAAAATTTGATCGGTGAAAATTATGACATTTTAGTAAAAAATGTCATTTTTCTGAAAATGGCAAGAAAATAGCATTATTACTCTTCATAGTGTCAAAATTTTCATTGAATCTACCATTATTGTGGCATTACTAAATATGGTGGCAGATTTCCTCCAGTGATGGGAGCTGGTGGTGCTGGGGCTGGCGATGGAAGCATTTTTTTACGTTTTTTTTTTATTTATTTTTTTAAATTTTTATTTTACAAATATTTTATATTTTTTTATTATTTTTTTATGATTTTTATTATTTGTAGGATTTTATTACTTCCTTTATATTAATTGCTTATTCAGGGGACAGATGTATCGTAGTGTGATACTTCTAAAATTAATTTTTAAATTACTTCTTCTCCTTCTCCTTCTCCTCCTCCTTCTCCTCCTTTTTCTCCTCCTCCTCGTCCTCCTCCTCTTCCTCCTCCTCTTCCTCCTCCTCCTCCTCCTCCTCCTCCTCCTCTTCCTCCTCTTCTTCTTCTTTCTCCTCTTCTTCTTCCTCTTCTTCTTCCTCCTCTTCTTCTTCTTCCTCTTCTTCTTCTTCCTCTTCTTCTTCTTCTTCTTCCTCTTCTTCTTCTTCTTTTTATATTTATAAAGGCTTTTCAGAACCAATAAAGTTGGTAAATTGGTGAATGAGTTCTTATGCCAATGCCATTTTACGCATCAACAAAGGAGTTATTTAAACAATACACGTCTGTTATGAAACTAATAGGGATGTTGAAGTCATTCATTACATATCCTGATATAAGATATTCTTCATAGATTCATGGGAAATTTTCCGAAATAGGAGTAAAAAAGTTTGAAAATTCCAAAATAGGACTGCCATTTTTTATTCCCAAAATATGAGTAGTTACTGCAAAGTTTGAAAAATACTGTCATGTTTAAAGTCTGATACTGTCAAAACATGGCAGTTGTTGAGGTTTATTCCCTTCAACCCGTAGGCCCAACACACAATCTAAGGGTTTCGAGTGGGTATTTTTGGAGAACAGGGTCAAACAAATAAGATGAGGCCCAATAAGAAGTCTCAATATAATTTTAAGGCGTGAGGCCGTCTGTACAAATGTTGTGCTACAAAGTGAGGATGTTCGTCCCCTGATATGCTATGAGCTGCTATGAATGTTATAATACTAGAGTGCTAAGTTTTCCAATCCGTTACAATGAAATAAATGCTCCCTTGTATACCGCCAATGGGTGGCTAGATGCATTGAACCCAGCCGTGGATGATTTGATCCCGACTACCAAATATTCTGCATTAAATGCGTGACCCCAGGATCTTGGCTTCACGCCAAGGGGTGGCACGTTCATCCCCATGGGCTTGTCTAGCTTGATCCCGACCATCAAATCTTTCGTATTAAATGCGCAACCACCAAATATTCTGTATTAAATGTAGAACCCCGTCAGGATCTTGGCTATCCGTTAAAGGGGTGGGGACGTTCGTCCCCAAGTCTTGCTCCTGGACAAAAGTATATGCTACGCTAGGATACGTACGTCCCCTGGATGATGGGGAAGGGTATTCCGTTGTCTTGGATCTTCAGGGGACGTTCATCCCCATGAGCCTAACTGTTGTTTCCTGCCGAACTCCTTCGAGACGTACGTTTCGTACTGCCCCTGGGCCAAGGCACATTGTACGCTAGAATACGTACGTCCTCAGGATGATGGGGAATGGTGCTCCGTTGTCTTGGACCTTCTGGGGACGTTCGTCCCCATGGGCTTGCCTCCTGTGAGACGTGCGTCTTGTGATGCTTCTAGGGTAAGGTACATGCCTACATTTGGAGACGTATGTCCCCTTCTCTTTGGCCAAGTTGGGGACGAACCTCGCTAGGGGGCTAACCCATTGTTTTGGGCCCTCTGGGGACGTTCGTCCCCATGGAACTCCTGCTGGGTAAAGTCCTATAATACGTACGTCTAGTGTTGCTCCTGGGCCAAGGTACCTGCCACGATAGGATACGTACGTCCCTTGTATGGGGAATTGTATCCCGTTGTATTAAGCCTTTTGGGACGTTCGTCCCCTTGGGCCTCCTGCTAAGCAAAGTCCTTCGAGACGTACGTCTAGTGCTGCCCCTGGGCCGAGGTACCTGTCACACTAGGATACATATGTCCCCTGAATGGGGAATGGTATCCCGCTATTTTGGGCCTTCTGGGGACGTCCATCCCCAAGGGCCTTAGGTGTTTATGAGCCAAACCCCATTGGGCCATTAACCCAACACAAGTCCCCCACTTCTGATGTTCCGAGCGTGCGCGGGACATAAGGAAGTAGAATCGAATCCGACGTACGTTGGATGCTAACACCATTGGCGCCTCCCAAGTCGATGTGTCATTCCGTGTCTCCTGATGTGCGTCCCCTGAGATGGGTCCTGGAATGCAGTTATCTTCTTTCCAGGTTCGATGCCTGGGAGCCGATGTCCCCTACGGAGACGAAGCTCTTCTCTTGGGCTTTTTCCAGGGGGTCTCACCAGAAATCTTGGGCTTAGGGGATGTTCGTCCCGTGCATTTGAAGTAAAATTGTTTCCGCCATACTGCCTTTAGCTGACGCCCCTGATGCGACGGTTATCTATTGTATTCTCGATCTCTGAACGTCTTGCTTTCTTTATTCACTGGATCTCCATACCCGCCCATCTATGTGAACGGGCCTTGGTGGCCCGTTGGGGATGTAGGTCCTCCAGTCTAGAGGGAGGGTATTTGATGTTTAATTGTCTCTGGAGGCGTCTGTAGGGTGAGTGACCCAACACAAGTGAGCCCGCGAATCTGCACCGAGATAATATACTCTTGCCCTTCATTCAACTATCTTTTCATCGTGCCACACAGTTTAATCCCTGGGGCCGTACTGCGTTAAATCGATGACTTTGGTGGAGACGCTCGTCTCTTCTAGGATTCATTTTGAGCACCCTCCGTTATCCGACGTCCCATTCATGACCTTCATCTGCATAGTGAGCTTGACCGTACACTAGATACGATGGCGCTAAGGGGCCGATCGTAGTGTGAATGATGAATATCGGATGCCGGGATTTTGATTTCCCACACCTTTGGGAGACGAACATCTTCTGCGTTCATACTCAGCATTTTATCCTGTGGCATGCATGAACGTCCCCGGGCAACTGGTTCGAAATGCGCTGGCTAGCCGACCCTTTTGTCCCAAGCATTGATGTCGTACGGCGCCACTGCGGTAATTTCTGTTTTTTTATCGTCACTTTTCTTCGCTCAACCATCCTCTCACCGGTCCTCCGTGCTGTCCCTTGGTCTTATGTTGTGCGAGGCCGATGACTTGATGAAGAACGGGTTTACCCCCTAGAACTCGCTGGTTTTCGCTCAATCTATCTTCTCATCGGTCCTCCGTGCTGCCCCTTGGTCTTATGCTGTGCAAGACCAATGATCGTGATGAAGATCAGGATGTCATCCTGGCGACGAGCGGGTTCCCCTGGTTTTCGTTCAACCATCTTTTCACCGGTCCTCCGTGCTGCCCTTGGTCTTATGTTGCGCGAGGCTGATGATCGTGATGAAAATCAGGACGTCATCCTGGCGACGAGCGGGTTCCCCTGGTTTTCGTTCAACCATCTTTTCACCGGTCCTCCGTGCTGCCCCTTGGTCTTATGTTGCGTGAGGCCGATGATCCTGATGAAGAACAGGTCTTATCCCCTGGGATTCCCTGGTGCC